CTTAGATACACGAAATAAAATTTATCTTGAAATTTGATAATTCCTATTAATACGACCCTCATTCCTAAGAGTGTATGTACAAACAAAAATAGTTAATTCATTTACGAAACATATGTGTGTGTGTCAATAGTCTATTCAACATAAATTCTAAGCTTTCTTTTTCTTCTTTTTTTTTTCTTTTTTTTTTTTTTTTTTTTTTTTTTTCTTTTTTTCATTTAAAATAAAAACTGCGAAAATCGGTATTAGCTTGTTCCAATGTCAAATAAATACCTCCTTTCAACCATTGACCCACACTTTATAAGAAAAATCCTATTATATCCAAAATGTAATTAATTCCATAATATTATATGCAATTACACATTTGTTAGCAAATACCATGTGGGTGAGATTCTTTGGAGGAGTTTCTGGGTATACAATCACATGAATAATTCATCGTGCATCCTTGGCAGTTAACTTCTCTATCAATTCTTGTAATGGTGCTAATTCTCGTCGTTCAATTAAATTGAATTCCTGAATATAAAAAAAAAATGTATACATATATATATATACATATACATATAATATTATATTGTATATAATAATGGGTATATTTAATTTTTTATATAAATATACCTGAACAAAAAATATGAAGTGTTTAAAAGACGTATTTAAATGCGCTTCTTCGCCAAGCTGTACAACTTCGCTGAAGTGTTGATGATAAATATGTGCATATACTCTAAATAATCGCTTCAATATTGTTTTTGCAATTGATAAGAAGTTCTTTGGGAATGGTACGCCTATGAAATGAAAAAATATATTTATTTTGTTTTTTTAAATATATCTCTATTTACAATATCATTTATAAAAGTAAATTAAATTACCGATTTTGGAAGGAAACAATGTTTCGTCGTCCAATTGATCTTGTACCCATGTCATTAAATAATCAATGTATTTTGGAGCTGAACATTTTATTGGCTTTTTTACGGTATGACCATCTGCCCAGTGATATTCATACTTTGGACCTGCTGACATTATCGGACAACTTTCCTCTGTACAAAATTCTGTGATAGTGCCATATAACATGTTGATTTGATTAAAAAAATCAACAGCTGTAATAATAATAATAATAATAATAATAATAATAATAATAATAATAATAATAATAATAATAATAATAATAATAATAATAATAATAATAATAATAATAATAATAATATTATTATTATTATTATTATTATTAATAATAAGATTTATGAATAGATATAATAAATTACAAATTCAATATATACTTTAATACAATATAATAATACATACTATTGACAGCGACCCATTCGTTTAAATCTTCTCCTTCTGGAAGCATAACTGCTAATCTTAGATTTCCAGAACCAAGAGTAGCTGCTGCATGTTTCATCAAATCATATTGATGAGTTCCTTCAGGGATATTCTTCTTTGGCTTAAAGGTTTTCGATGATCGGCTTCCACTTAAGAAATCCAGAAACGTTGAATTTACAGTCGGATAATGTAAAACTGACAGATATGAATTTATTACTTCGCTGAATAGATAGCAAGTTATCTCCATTGTATCTTATCAAAATTTTTATTTATTTATCATCAAGTTTTCATTTATATACTAAATGAAATAATAAAAAGAAAAACATAAATAATTTCCTCAATTTGAATTTTTTTAATGATATATTTTGGAATATTAGAAAATTTTTTCTTTGATTAAAAGAAAAAAAAATAAATACACATACATATATATATATATATATATATATATATATATATATATATATAATCATAACATTGAAACTCTAGAATATATATATATATATAAAATAATGAAACATATTTTTCCTGAAGGATGATTCATAGTGGCTGCATATATAAATTGAGATTATATTGTATGCACATTATCAATGCACCTTTTATAAATATAATCACTTCGAAATTATCTATCGATAACATTTTCGCACGTATCAAAAAAAAAATATTAATAAAATCTAGAAAACATTATTTTGCTGTAAAAATGAAATATCCATGTAAAAAAAGAATCTGTCAACATTTATAGATAATACGACCGGCAGTCCTTTCTCTAATGGCAGATTCTTTTTCAGTGTTATCCCATCATTTTTATAAAATAATCCATATTTCGAAAAGATCTATTGATCAAAGTATACAATTAACATTTCCTATATCAAATTTGACTACAATGTTCTTATCGTGAGTTTAATGGAGTAAAAGTGAAGACATAGAATAAATCGAAATTTCTATTAGAAAAAACTTACAATAGGAAGCTCATTGTGAACTGACGCTTGGCTTTTTTACTGGAACAAGATCAATTAACACAATGACTGATTATCACTAACTTTCGAAGGAGAACACATAAAATCTTCCTTCAAATACGATCAACGAAAACTTTTCGACTACCGTATAATATCACACAGAAGGTTTTGTCAACTGCTGTTTCCGTGATCGTCGACTTAGGCGATCGTTTCGTCAGTACGGAATGGATGCTTTTTACGTAGAAATCACGACGTCCGATTAGACGTGATTATAGATATTTCTATATTCTCTTCGGACAAATTAACTAGAAATCTTATACTTTTATAAATATTATTTTACAGTTATCAAATATAATAGAAATATATGTTAAAATATGCAAATATTTAAATGTCAATTAATATAAAAATATTAACGAGATATTATCGATATAAACAAAATAAATATAATTTATAACAAATTCTTTTGTTCGTCAATATAATGATTATACGATTATAATATTCTATTCTTTAATACGAAATAATTCACTTTCTAAAATATCAATACGAAGGCAAGAAATTAAAAAGAATTTTGCATTGAGTTATCTCATAGTCCGACCAATGAGAATACTTCAGCTTGATATATCTTGTAGATGATTGGATGAAATGAAAAATACGACTTTGATTCTGTCATCAGGATTGGTTTATTCATAATTTATACTGCGCTACTATTGTATGATTGGATGTGTGCAAATAAAGGCATTCACCAATTGTGTCTATTCATAAATGTGCTACTATAAGTCGAAGTGATATTTTATACGTTTTTGGTCATGAGTTGTTTTAGGTCTCTGTCATCTTTTCATTACGTCTACGTAAATACACTTTGTTATAACCAAAGAGACGATATTTTTATATCTCTTATTGAAAATGACAAAATTTCTGACGTTTGTCTTGGAATTTCATTAGAAAATTACTTATTGCTTAAAAAAAAAAAAAAAAAAAAAAAAGGACTCTGAAAGATGGGAAGTTATATGAGTAGAATTGCATCTATGTCAAATACTGCAGTACATTCTGTTTATCGAGGCCGTAAACGAAAATGCATCGAAGAGGATGATTTCGATTCTGAATTTGAATACATCGATCGAACACTTCAAACGCCTAAAAAGTGGGACAATTGATTACTCCATCAGAGTAACTTCATATATGTAAATTTTTATAATTTGTAATAATGCATGCTTTTGTAGGAGAAAATTACTAACAACCGCACAATATATATACAAAACTTTATTCCAAGAAGAGAAAGGAAGTGATATAACTGTGCTCATGTTAGGAAAAGCATGGAGATTACATAAAGTTTATATTAGTCAAGTACGAATTAATTAATATTCTATTTTTATATAAACAAATTATATTTTTATCAAATTTATATTAAAATGGATTCATTTGCAGAGTCCATATTTTGCAAGTATGTTTTCTGGGTCCTGGAGAGAAACAAATGAAACTGTAATTAGCGTTGAAATTGCTGATTCCAATATCACATTAGATTGTAAATAAGATTGATATATTTTAAATATTACGTTATAGTAATATAATGAATATTTTTTTTAATAATTCAGTTATAATTTTTTCAGCTCTTTTAACAGTACTAGGATCATTTTACCAAGACGAAGTCAGTTTAGAGCCAAAGGATGTCATTTCAATTTTAGCTACGGCTACTTTATTTCAATTACAAGGATTGATCGATCAATGCACCAATATTATGATTGAAACTACAAACATTAAAACTGTTGTTCCATATTATAAAGCAGCAGTTTCATATGGTATGCCTGCAGTTAAAGTGGCTGCTAAAAAATGGATGGAAGTTAATTTATTAGGATACGGTTGGTTATATCCAACACTTTTACAAGACATTACTCCAGATTTAATGGCAGAATTGATTGTTAGTCCAGATTTGGTGGTTATACAAACAGAATTTTGTATATATATGATGCTACGTCTATGGTAAAATATTCTATTTTCATTATAGTATATGATTTATTGAATACATTTTAACATGTAATTCAAATAACCAAAGAAATAATTAAATGTAGATTATTGCATTGTTTTAGGCTGTTTGTACATCTAAAAAATAGAGATGAAACGATTGAGATAGACTTTAAAAACCATACATGGACAGAACCTTTTCTAGCGACAGAGGAAGGCAAAGAATATGCAACTCCGTTCAAAGCTCTAAGAATGAAATATCTACTTTTACATGATCAAGATGTTAGAGTTTTATACAGTGATGATTTAATACCTCCTAGTTGGTTACATGATGCATATAAAGAACAATGGTTACATTTATTAAGAATTGATGCTAGCAAAGATAAAGGGTCAGTTATCATATAATAAATTTATTTTTTATAAATTAATTGCAAAATACATCATATACATTTATAATATTTATAGACCTGAACAAATGAGTGAAAAAGAATTTTATCAAGAATGTTTTCGGTGTGGCCGATATGTTGAGAAACCCGGTGAACATATCTGGAGATGGACAGCATTTCATTTTGGACTAGATTTTATTATGTGTCTGGATACTACAATTTTGCGTATCAAACGAAATCAAAGATTAGATACAGATCATATTCACGCAAATCATAATAAACATAATATTATTTTAAAGTAAGTAAAGTAAATAAAATAGAAAAATATCATTGCATAAATAATAGCGTGTAAAAAAAAAACGAAAAAAGAAAATTGTAATTATTTTTAGGGTAACATTAATTTCATTGGATGAACAACGCCAAGTTAAACATATCCAATCTTCCGGAATGCTTAGGTTATCGCTACACAAAAACGAAGAGGTATAAATAGTATATATATAACTATTATATATAAAGTGTTTCAAATTAATATATCTTTATGATTTATATTCTAGAAACAGGTGATGTCTCTGGATAAACAATTAACATATCCTTTGTACATGTCTGTTAATATGCAAGTAGTAACACCATTTTTGTTTAATGAGGAAGAGAAATTAAATGATGTCATGCTTGTGGATACCTAGCAGTTTAAAGAAATAAACAAAATACATGAGAAAATGGGAATTGAAAGGTGCTTTCAATAATGCTGACTATAAAATCACGATTTTGTAAGTTTGCGAGTTCGAGATTGAATTATTTGAATTTCATTTTCAATAAGATTTTTCTAATCATCTAATCATTTAATTATAATTGTCGAAAATTGCGTGCTTTTTAGATATTATAAATCTAGTATTATGATATTTTTCTGGTCGGACCAAAATACTGTGTAAATTTTAACTTGCATTTATACATCGAAATTATAGCGTAGATATATCATTTAAAGTTACTTAAATAGTTATCTTTAATTATAAAATTTACTTAAGTATTAGTTGATCAAGAAAAATCGCATATTAATATTCGCGCAGAAAATAATATATTTGTTTCTTAAAATGAAGTCAAATATAATTTATCAGAAGTTATTTGCTTTTTTGTAAAATGCAAATAACCATCTTTACAAATGCACAATTTACTCGATTATTCATTGAGATCAAGACTTCATTATATATTCAACAGCTATTAATCATATACAGGAAATATAAAAATTACATGTTGCCATTTTATCAGATAATTTTTTAATTCATAATCGGTATAAAATCACTTTTGAATATGGTCATGCAAAGTTAATTTTAATCTTGATAATTAAAGTCTTACTTCTTTTATTATTCCAAACTATTTTATTTGTCTAACATCAATATCAAATTTATGATTGTTTAAGAATTTTCATTGCCATTGATGAACTGAAAAATTATCTGATAATGTAGTGAGAAAATTTTTACACGTCCTGTATTTATAAATTTATCTATGAAATAATTCTAATACATTGATAATACACTGCTAAAATGCATTATACATTAATATTGTATTAATGCAGTACCAAGAAATACATATAAAACGTTTGACATTTCGTTACATTATTTTACATAATTTTATTTATTAATAGCTAGGATATAAAGAAATTTATTATTTTAGTAATAGAAATGCTTTCTAGTTCATTTAGTTTTTAGAACATACTTTATTAATCTGTTAAAATGGAAAGATCTTTTTAAGTTCTATTGGATATTTATCTACATAAGAGCGAAATACATAAAAATATATGTTTGCAATATTCAAATATTAATATCAATTATACTTGTCTAAGCTTTGCAGATTATATCAATTTGGGCAGAAGCAATGTATCTATAGTTAGATCTAAACATTTCTAACTAACTATGTCATTAAACTATTTCATAAAGCTTTAATATGTAGGATTTGATATGCTTCTTAACTGCTATAGATAAAGTTTAATATTTATTTAACTTTACATATTAATATATTTATGACACAAACTATTCTTAAATGAAATGTCAAGTTACAAAAGAACATCTTATTCAGCATAATTAATAATAGATAAAAGATTTGTATTTGTAAAAGTTTTATGATATATTTTTACTATTAAAAACAACTGTAAATATAAATTGTGTTAATGCAGAATTGGGTTTTATAACATTTATATACAAAAAAAAAATATAATTATTTAAGTTTCTAAGGATATAAGCGATTTGATTTACAGATAATAGTAAAACAAAAGACATTTGTATAACAATACTATATAGAAACATTTGATTTCATGTATCATATTTTCCATAAAATATTTATATAAAATTTCATTTCTAGGAAAACTTTAATATAACAGATATAAAATGTACATATAATCTATAACTATCATATATATATACATATGCATATATATGTGTATGTATGTTATTTTTATATTTTTCTCACTTTTATATATCTTTCTAAAACAAATTAAACGAAAGTTTTGTTCACAAGTGATTTATATATAAATGTGAAAGAATATTTTAATTAACAAAAAGGACTCCCACTTCCAAAACAATATAAATATATCTACATGAAACAGTAAATGTTTATAATGGGATTTTTGGAAGAAAAACAATATAATTTGATATTCTTTTCCGTAACCATTTAACACTTTATTGGCAGAATACTCTCTGTACATTGTGTATTTTGTGTACAATAGAATATATAATTTGACAATAAATGTTACAAACAAATTTAAAAAGTTTGACGTAGACATTCTCTTGATACGTTTTTATGGGACAACCGGTATTATAACTAGAATTCTTAATGAAGCGTCAATTTGCGATCATTATTATGTATAAGAATTTTACGCATGTCGTCAAAATGTGTTATTC